GTTTTGCGAATTGATGCAGCAGTTGCATGTTCACTGACATTGAATTGAGGCAGAGGATACTGCACCCAGCTGCGCAGGTTGATGACTCAAGGACTTCTTTGGCAAGGACTTCTCCAAAGAGGCATTCAGAAAATCAGCTCCTGTCTGTTGCAATCACGATGCAACCTTTGTCAAGCGCAACATGTTGCTGAGCCCTCGCTCCTCGGATCGTCGCCACGCAGCATTGTAGGCCGCATAGTGGCTGTCCTCACAAACTCCCAACTAGTTAAGCCGTGCGCCACATCACCGTCGATTCTGCATCCCACTATGCTGCTCTCCCGCCGCACAGCGCGATCTGGCAGATCGTTGAGCAGCGTGGTTGGTGCTGCGTTGAGGGAACCTCAGCAAGCATTTTGATGTAGACCAGTGTTGCTGCGGGCAGGAATCATGCTCAGCTCTGCTCCAGGTGCTGTAACATTGTCTTGCACGCGAGCTGAGATTGGCAATTCCAGCCGACCAGTGCCCAACTTGCGCAAGGCCAACCGAAACGGTCAAACATTCAGGCACTCGCGATCGCACGAACCTCTCTGAGCTTGGCATGCAGGGCATCTCGGCTGCTCGATCTGTCAGCCACGTTAGCCGCGCATAACACATGCAGTCTACGTAAGAGCCCGTCCTGGGAGCCATCCGTTCACGTCCGCTACCCGGTGTGAAAGCAATGGGCTCCGTATTTCTTTCCGACCCTGCGCATGACGCATCTTTCATGGACAGGCTTCTAAGATGTGCAGTCTGCCTGTCCATTCGTCCCCGCTTGGTGCCGCGACCTGGACTCAACTGAACCAGTGCGGGGTCAGTGCCAAAACCAGATCTTCAGAATGTTCTTCCGCTGCCGCGGCCTCTCCCAGCCGTCGCAGACGTGTCCTTAGAATCTGCGCACAAGTCTCGTCCAGAAATCTGCGATGCTGAGTGCCTGACATGAGTGTTTGGTACCACTCGTCCTGCACATCTGGCGCCGAAAACAGATGTTTCTCGTAACTTGTATGTTGATGCACAGATGACACAAGCAACGGAGCACGCTAGCGCATATATATATATATATATGTATACACATGATTGCGCAGACATACGCAAGCCAGGCATGTCCTGTACGGGCTGTTGTTCTCTGGAGCTCGCTGCTCCCTCGCCAGGTGCTCGTGCAAAAGTCTTTGACCAAAAACACGCACTGAGCACAGCTATTCATAGCCCTGCGACCTCTCTGAGGCGCCACCGGCGCATGGGCTCCCGCATCTCCCTGTCTTCGTTTCCAGCCCGACATGGTCGTCTCGGGCTTAACTCTGGATTTGGCTGGGCTGGCGGTGTCGGGCTGGACATTGGCAAGGAAGGCGATGTATGAGAAGGCATTGGTGCCAGGCATGGTCTAGAAGGCGGTGTGTTTGGAAGCACAGATGCTCCAAATGTGGCAGTTGATGGGAAACTTATGTCAGAGAGGATGGGTGGAGGAAGTGTGGTAACTGGTTCGCGGGGTGCCATTCGAGAACCGCCTGCGCACCTCAGGAGAGTGCTGCACGTCTCAACCTCCACCCTGTCCTGAGACACTTGCTCTAAAGAAACGCTCAGCTGCTCACGGTCGAGGTGGCGGGCAAGCCGAGGATGGCGGCGCAGGGGGGTGCAAGGCAGCCTGCCGGGGCGAGAGCATCAATAACAAAATGCAGCAAACACAACGACATTAGTTCAGCCTCTCTTTCCAGCCCGCAGATGCGGCAGAACGAGGAGTCTGGCAAGTGCTCCTCTCTTCAAGAGACAGTTAAGTTAAGCAGCTGCTTCCAGTCGTCAATCAGTGCAAGCTGGGTCTCTTGCTATGTTGCAATGCCTGCAGCGGCCAACCTCTAGAGCAGAATCAATGTCAGCTTGGCAAATCCCAGACATATGAGCTATAGTCTAAACTCCTGGTATCCCCCTTAATATACCCTATAGTAGTCCTCTATATAATCCCCTATATAACTCCCCTTTAAGGAGTTTAGATTATAGTACATATGGCAAAACCTCGTCAAGCGCCGGTGCGGGGGCTGTCCGGGGTGTTGGTCGCCATGGTTGTGGAGCCTCATCTGACAATTCTTTGCAGCCCACAGCCAGCCCACAGCGAACTCGGGCAACGACACCTCTCGGCGAGCTCCTGACGTGCCAGCATCAGTTCTGTTGGACAGATTGCTGCAACTCAGCTCAAACAGCTTTGTGCAAGAAATCCAAAAAATGTAAAGGCTGAAAAGGAACATGCTACAGTGCATTGCGCACCAGAATTTCTTGACCTAGCTTGTCCTTGGTGACCAGCCACTCCGATCTGGCGCGCTTCGGCTCCGAACCTGTGCCCTGGCAAGATTCGGAGTCAGAACTCTTGAGTGAGTTAACGCGTCTGCACAGATTCAGCCAAATAAGGCCTGGCCCGAATGCCGCTGAAGGCCTTGAACGCAGCGCAACAACACACATGTGCACCTGCTGTGGAATTTGCGCTGTCTGATGCCAGATACTTGCTGAAAAATGAGTGCAACATGCGAACATGTCACGCTCTGACGTTGGCATGCGAATATCAAATTTCTGCAGCTGCGTTTCACAAGCCGCCCGCACACAGCAGTCACAATCCGAATCTGAGATTCCTGCAGGCCGAAGCATTGCACAGCTGGATGGTGGAGTTCCTGGAGCTACCTGAGGCAGAAGAACGCCAACATCTACGCTGTCACGGCAACCTTGTACCACTCCAACTCACTTCATGAATGAATCCACACGCCTTTGCTCTATTTTGTAACTGAGCCCGTGTCCACCGTGTCCCTGCGGTCTGGGCTTAGATCAGTGTCAACAGCACCTGATAAAAAGGGCATATTGCCCTTGATGCCCCTCGATAAGTGCTTGCAGCCAGAATTTGACGCCTTCCATGCCCAGAGGTGCCTCATCACTGGAATGGCGCTGCTTTCGAAAGGCTGGTGAATCAGAACATGTGGTAAGGGTCTTGCCCTTCCCCGTACGCTGGGCTGGCTTTGTGACCGGGGTGTGCGAGGTCTCCTGCTGGCCGACCTCTGCCGTGCAAGCTGGCAGTGTCACACATGCTGAGGAACAACTTAAAGAACCGCAGCTGACTAAGTCTGCTCGGCACCGCGCGCAGAGCCAGTTCCTGAAAAGTGCTTAATGGAAGAAGTGTTCCGGAAGCCACGTTTAGCCAAGCTGCTGGACATTAGCTCCAAGCTGCTGGGCCATGTCCTGCACATCTCAAAGAGGCACCACGAGTTCATGTTCAGGCCTTGGCCGGATTTGGCCGGGTCCTGTGGAGCTCAACCCACTTGGCCTGCAGTTGGGTGAGCGAAGAAGCAATATGACTGTGGATGAAAACTTCTATGATCGCGGCCCCCCTCACCCCTTGTTACACACCTCTTTGTTGCGGCCTGTTGTTACATAACTTTGCCGCAAGTGCTTGATACGGGCAAGCCCCACAGCAAGGACAATCTGTTACAACCGCATGTCGTGGAATGGCCACCCAAGCCTGAGTGTTTTTGATTCACAGCCATATTTGGCTCAGCAAGATAGATGACTGGGTGGCCAGCAAGAGTTCGAAGGGAGCCGAGTCCGAGCAGCTGCGCTGAGCGGCCATACTGAAGGTTGAGAGCCTGACCCAAGGAGTACAAGCTTTACCTTGCGCTGCATCATTACATTACAAGGCCCCACGGCCTGGATCCCGATGGCTGCCACGCTTTGGAGCAAATCCGGCCAATCCTATGATTCCGGAGGCCCGAGTGCAGATCACACCGAGAATGAAACTATGAGGAGCTATGCCTGCTCTTCAAATGCCAGCAAGAAGTGCCGCACGCTCGGACTTTCCAAGACTCGTTCAGCTATCTGAACCTTGAGACGCAGGCTCCTCCTGTGTGAATTTAAACATGTTAGCTTGGGGTGGCACCATCTCAGGCTTTTGCGACTTTGCCACAGCCTTCTCGGCCTACCATCAGATGATATGCGAATTGGCAGTCGAAAGAGTCCAGTTTAAGTCTACTCATTAAAGGCTTGTATTTGGCATCGGAGCGAAAGGCTGCTCAATCTATGATGATATGTCCACAAGACTCAACGTGCAAAAACAAAACCTGTCACAATCCCCAACCTGCTCGAATGCGGCCTTGACCTTAGCAGTACATGTGCTTGCTTGTTACTCCTTTAGTGATTCGGCAGCCTGCGCACAATATCGCATGACGAAAATGAAGATGCTGAGAGGGCCGCCGCCCGACTGCAAACCACGCCGCCTCATGTCTTACGTGAGGGTTTTTCATGACTGCGGTCAGTATGCCTTGACAGTTGCCCTAGCAACAACCGCTGGGCTTTGGAAGGCGCCTGTGATTCGTACTCATACCGCAACATGCTTCAGGAATGCATCCACTTACCGATGCGCCAGAAAAGCTGATGAGGGCGCCGCAGCGGCAGTGGAGCTCCGGGAAGCTTAAGGCCTCATCCTCGTCCTCCTCCACAAACATGTGACTACTTCCGATGCTGTCGGAAACCTCGCTTCACTGATGAGATGCAACCGCCCTTAAGGAACAACCCAGATACAAGTCACGGTTATGCTCCTCATCGCCAGCCCTCATTTTTCTACGCGACACGCAACATGAGCCAAAAGCAGTTCGTTGATCAATGTGGCAGATGACTGGTAGGTTGTCCGGAAATCCTAGCAGCTGACATGCTGTGCAAGTGCATGAGACCAGCTTTAGGGCATGCTATGCAGAATTCCGCGATGCTCAACGACTACATCGTGATTGCTGGATGTCCAGCTGGTGAAACGATAAAGATAAAAAAGACGACATGTATCTTCATTGACGCTAGTCTCAGCGCCTTGGCTGCATGCCAAAGGCTGGTTTGCGTCCATCAGAAGGGGTCATTTTTACCTGGGAGCGTGGCTCGCTCGACTGCTTAGATCTCCTGCTCAACACGCTTCAGAGCGCTTCTGTCTATGCTGAAATGAAGCGTTTTTTGAAAGCTGAGGCTTCGGCCCGGACTGTTGAGAGCGGCGGCGCTGCGACCCAGAAGACTGCCGTCGGGATCCCGAGCCCCTTATGTCGAAATCTCACCAAATTCAATCAGACGGCGAGTGACACTCATAGCGGCCTTGATGCTCGGGATGACCTTTGCTCCGACTGCCGTGATGGAGGTGCTGAACCGGACGTCCTGGTTTAATGCTGTGCTCGAATGTAAATGCTGATGGCTGAGAGTTGTTCTTCCATGCGCGCAAGCATGTCAGGCAATTTGCTAGCAGCTGAGCTGAGTTCATCGGCGATGAAAGCCTGAAAGGCAGCACGAATGACGTGGCTTTGTGAACAATTTTTTGGCGTCAGCGATTGAGCTTCCGGCCGTGCTCTTCTGGGATTGGCTTGTGCGAACTCCTGCAAGGACTTCTCACGAACAAGAGCCAAAGACAAAATTCATGCATTGTTGCTCTTGCAGCTGGGAGATGGGTTGTAAGCTGCCTTACCGTGGACGGGCGTGAAGCTGGCTTGTGAGGTATCATCTCCGGAATCAGACCTGGTACAATCGCCCTTGCTGCATGCACTATGCCTACAGCTTCTTGTGTGCCCATAAGAACACGTCGGAGCTCCGGGCTTGGCAATTTCTACAACTTCTTCTTTGCCTTTCTGTTCTTTCCGGAATGCCTGCGCAAGCAAGAGCCTTTTGTATATGCCATTGGGCACGAGTAGTCTGTTACATCACAAGGCACACAACAGGGCTGGCGAGCAACTCCCATTTTTGACATGCAAACCAAGCGTTGACGATGACGGAGGGTGTTGCAGGGGCTCCTGCAACTTGGTCGGGCAGAGGTGCTAGATGGGGGTTCGCCAACTGTCTAAGCAAGATCAACGAGAACAAAGGTGCATCAAAGGCGATTCCTCAAGTCTTGACAACCTTGTCCACGACCTGCTGCACACGCCTAAAATGTATGTGTAAGGCACGCTGCATGAAAGCTGCGCAGACGGCCTTCTTGTAGTCCAATGCGCCTGTAGCAGGCAAGTCGGCTGCCTTGCAGATCTCCTGTGAGGCTATGGGGCAGGCGGCCGAAGGGTCCCGCAAGGCAACAAAACTCCTCGAACTCCTGCGGCGTCAGCTTTTCGCCTAGACTCGTCACCTCATGCGACATGACGGGAACAGCAGAGGTTGAAGCATGCGACTGAGCAAGGTCCGCGCAATGTGGCGGAGATCTTTCATGTCCACTTGTCCCGAACCGTGCTGATCAAACACCTGGAAGGCCTGTTGGCATCACCGGTCACCACATGCCTCAAACGGATTGCAGCGTCCGAACTGCCTGAAGCAGCGCCTGTGCCTGCTCGATGCTTGCTGATTCACGTCTTGCATTGGAGTGCAGCGGGCAGTACATCATGCGGCCAAGTGTTGAATCAATCTGTGCATGAAAACATATCCAAAGGACTTCGGAGAAGTGACGCCCTATGGGTGTGAAGGCCTGCTTCTCTGGTTGACGCGGCTTCTTTGCAGCCAGCGCCTTGAACTTTTCCCAGGACACCAAGTCACTGCCGGCTTCCTCCTTTGGAGAGTGAGCCCATACCCACATGAAATGCAGCCTCTGAACGCCTAAGTCCTGTCCTTGAGCGCTTGCACTTCCTTCTGAGTGAGCACTAGTCCCAACGATCTCAACACGTCGCCAAGCTCCGCTGCCTTCAGCCACCATCAGGGCATCAAACGCATGCTGTCAAGCTGTTGTTGGGCCTTGATCTTGCCGTCTGAGTCCTTGCTACGAGTTGTTACTGCACTACTCCCGACGGAAACAGGAGCATTTGTCAGCTGCGGAGCCGTAGTTTCAGCTGAGACAGAAAGTCCTTGTCATAGAGATCGAAGCACTCCTTCCACTCAACCTCTGTAGACGCCATCAGCCTCTGCCTAAGCTGTGAAGGATTTGCATTCTGCAGCTTGTAGCTTGTTGCCGTGCTCCTAGATCCAGAGATGCGGTCAGGCCACGGCACGCTTGTGGCAGCTTGTGACTTTCAGTCAAGGCCCGGAAAGTCTAGCGAACAAGGGTGAAGGATGCCAGATCTGGTTCTACAGCTATGATCTATGTAAAGAGATGTTTTCCGCTACAGTTGCCCTTGAGCCAGCCTCGCGGCCAGTGTCAAAGCAGCATTGAAGATCATTGAAGGACAATGCGCGAACGTCTGCGTTGCTTTGGTACTGACGGCCTTGGCTTGCGCCTCACGGCGCTTCTTCTCATAGCCGATGTCCAGAGCTCGAACCAACTCCTTTACAAAGCGCATGCAGGGGGGCTCCTAGCAGAGACTGCAGCAGTGCCACTCCTGTTTGATGATTCCTGTAGGAGCAGTGTGGTGAGCCAAGATCTCCCGCGCCTTGCTTGAGCACAAAAATCGTGTCAAGCAGCAGTGGAGTGTGCGAGCCAAAGCAATTCACAAAGCACGTGACGGTGAGAGTTCCAGCTTCTGCTGCCAGGCGCAGCTTTGTGAGTGCAGGATCCTGGCAGCGTGATGAGAGAAAGCAGAATACTAGTCACTAGTGCTCATCGATGCTCTGGTTCAACATGTTGGCAAGTAGTCCGGATCAGGCAGCTCGGCAACCTGCCAAATGACTTTGTGTGCAGATGAGAGAGGCATGAGGAAGACTACAATCAGCAAGACGGACTATTCTCTACAAGCTTGCGGCGCAAACAGCCCTAGCGCAGTAGTGAGAAATGTCCAGAGTCCAGCCTCTGATTCCGACTCCGTCTCCACCACTTCCTGAATTACAGCAGGTATCCCCCATCCAGGAATACAGAAACGCATTCGGCTTCGCCTCTTCCTCTTCTTCGGGCTCAGGCTCCACGGGTTCGCGTGACCTGGGCCAACACACATCACACGGCACCCATTGTTTCTTTTGCATTTTCTGAGAAGAACGCCTCATCACATGCCAAGCCTAAGTTGGTGAACAAAGGGCAAAGAGGACATCAAGGCGAACCCCCTGTGAATCTCACGTAGCCCGCTCCGATGCAGCCGCAAAGGAGAACGCTGCCTCCTCCTACCTGGGATTGGTGATATGACTTTGACCACTTCAGCATTCCTCCCTTACTGAGTGCCTCGCTATGGCAATCAAGGCACCAAGAGTTAGGCCTTCATCAACTTCTGGTGGTGGTGGCATTGGTGTGGTGGTGTTTGGCGGTTCCTGCAAGATGGAAAGAAGCAAATCTTTGCAATCCAGGCTCAGTTCAGGCTGCACCGCAGACCTCTCTCACTACACGGAATAAAGCAGCGAAGAGACCAAAGCTATTGCTGGCCAAGCAGGTCCTCAGCATGTGTGCAGCAATTGGCTAGGTCCCGAGAAACAGAAAAGGATGCGGCGACACTGGAGGACACTCAGACCCAAGCATCTCTGTAGAAGTATTGGTGATTGGGCTTTTTGATGTGACCCCTGCCGTGGACCTTGGCTGCAAGATGCTCAGTTCATACGCAGGATGAGGTTTTCTCGTGGGCGCACTCCTCTCCCCCAATATGTTTGTGGGACAGTGGTGCGGAACGGCGTGGGCTCAAGGTTTGTTCAAGGGTCTCTGCGGACTTAATGTCCGCACGAGTTCTCAGAGATCGTGGCGAATTGCAAGCCAAGTGCACCACAACTCACGCCACCTATACTGTTACTACTGATGCCATAGTAATTATTACTCCCGGGGACCCCAGTATAGACCCTTCTACGATGTACTATGATCCTCATGATGGGGATCTCCCAAATAGTGCCCCAAATTTTAGGGAACCCTAAACCACCCTAAAACCCAAGCCCTACACTCTAAACCCTAAATTCGGCAATGCGTTTGAGCCGAAGCCCCACAAGCACTCGGGCCCTTACCAAGCTCCAAGACCTTGGCGCGGGAGCCACGTCAAAAGAAACATCAAGATGGGTGTTTCCCTAAATAGAGGGTACCCTCAAAAGGGTTTATTATAAGGGATGTATAGGGGGATATAAGGACATATAGGGTTTAAGGGTCTCAACATGAATCATAGTCCAATTGCTGGTTCGTAGGGATTAAGGGAATACATTACATAGGGATTATACAGGGACTCTGTTACCTTTTCCCGCACTAGCCACCAATAAGTCATAGCAATATTAGAGCTTGGTAATTTGTATAGCCATAGTCATAAGTAATAGCAAGAACCATTGTAATAGTAGGAAATAATGGTATGGGTATGTTTCTCCTAGAGTTCCTCAACCTCAACTGGTAACGTGAAGCATTTCTTGCGTTGTAGGGGATTTTCGGGGGGTCCCTTATGAAAGGAGGGTTCGAGGAACCCTAGGATTCTGATTAAAGCATGCGGGAAGCTTCACAGCGGCCCCGACTCTCATCAAACGTTGCACACATGTACTCCACCAGATAACCTGCAAAGATGCCACGCAAGACTAGGCAGCTTCTCATACCCAAGGTCGGACGAAGACATCTTGAGACTTGTGGCTTGTGGGTCTGACCCACACCTTGCAATTGCTTTGCCTGGGATCCGGGCCAGGATAGACAACCTCTGGCTGTGAGATATCAAGGTCAATCTCCAGCGGGGTTGAAAGACCTGCTGCTAGATCACCGCTATGCCGTGCATTGCACACTCAGGTCGACGCCGCATGCCCAGGAGGGCGCAGGATACGTGAAACAGTCATGCTGTGGCTGGCTCTTAGCACGACAAGCGGACCGAGGCGCGCGTTGCTCTAGCAGGCTGATGAAAGCGAATCAGGTGCACTTGCCTTCTTGAAAGACTGGTTCGCCACAGCGTCGCAAGTAGATACCCTGCAACAGCAAGGCACTTCCTGCTGTTGGGGGTAGGCGCAGCTCCAAAAGTCACGACAAGCGAGCAATCCTTGGTAATTTTGGCCTTCATGGACGTGTTTGGCAGGACGAGGTCTGTAACACCTGCCAGATAGAACTCTAAACAGCACAACCTCCAGCCATCCAGAAAAGTCCGGTAAGGCCAAAGCCAAATCCACGAGGAGCCCAGAAACGAGGATTCAGAGCGAACCTGCCCGCCAAGTGTGCAATTTCCAAAAATTAGGGTCCCATTTCGGTACCCCAATCATCAGGTGCCGCAACATGTTCTATAATTTCTATGGCCAAAAGGGGTCCATGCTTGTCACAACAAGCCAAAAAAAAGCCAAAAAACCTTAGAATCTCATGGGCATGTGGCTAGTTTCTCTTGTTTTGCATCATTATCGTTCCCAGCGCTCTAAGAGCGGTCATAGATCTATTGTGCTATTGCTGTTGCCACGACATGAGCCATACTCTAAACTCCTAGTATCCCCTTTAATTCCCGCATAACGCCCTTTAAGCTGTTTAGACTCTAGTTCACATGAAAGCAGGCTTTCCGGGAACAGCCCGCCAGCTGGTGACTTGGACTTCCATCTCATCACAGCTTTGCGAGCTGCCCGTGCTCAATTGCCTCCCAGAAATGGCATACTTTCGGTCGTTCCCAATTTCAAGAGTGGTTGCAGCATCAAGATACACCCAATCTAAACGGATGCACTGCACGGTAGCACTGCAGCAGACACTTTTCTTGTTGACTGCCTGGGGACGAAAACGCCCGGCAGCCGCACGTCACCTCAGGCGTTCTCAACAGCAGGCATGTGGTCGTGGATTTGCACAGCAAGCCAAATGCAGCTGCAAACAGTCTGGCACTCGACCCTTGAAGCTGCAACTTTCAGATCATGCGTCTGCAAACCTTTTCATTATCTTGCACTGGGGCGTGTATTGCCACCCTAGATTCATAGTGAAACTCGTTTTCCGTGACTTCGATAGCTGAGAGCATTTGGCCCGCAGCAGAAGAAGGCAGGCTTACTGCTACAGCAGGAAAGCTGCCACACATTAACTGGTCATCGCCTTCTCCGATGCCAAGTAATCGCTACAACGCGCAACTTGCGAATTCAGTGCGTGGCCGGATCCACAGGTTGGATGTTTTGTGGGGACTTCTGTATTCTGAGCTTTTGTGATAGCCGTTCCGCACACACTCATCTGCTACTCATGAATGTAGTTCTGGGCACAGAGCTCTCGGATTGAGGTCAGCATCCCAAAAAACTTTTGTGCTGAATCTGTGCTGTGGAAAAATTCAGTCAAGACTGACTTATTCGACCAATTTCTGCAGCGATGGGCTCACCTATTGCTCTTGACCCAGGACTGCTGGATAACGAGCCCTGTGCCCTGGCTCTCGAAAATTTTGCTTTACGATCTACGACTGGTATCTATAATTACTTGCAACACACAAAGGAGACGGAAACTATCTCTGGGCTTGACGACACGACGGCATTTCTTCATGTGAAGAGTCTCCCAAGCAGCAGTGGCCTCATGGTTGCAAAGTCAGCCTTGCTAATACCAGGCGTTGCTCAGGAGATTATCTACGCCGATTTCCATTGCAGCCTGGCGTCGCAAGTATCCATGGGGCGGCCCGCGCCATGATGCAATGGGCAGTCTTGGCAATGGTAGTATTCCTGAGCTACCACGAGTAGTCCGGACAAGCCGCCAGCCATGATCGGCAGCATCCGTGCATATGCCAAGGAGCGGGGTTTCTGTCACACTCGTTGTCGTTGTTTGACTCGTCGATGTGGCTGTTATGCTGGTCACCTCGGCTGCTACCTTTTCTTGCCGATGCTTGCGACCCAAGTCTGATATGAGGGTAGCAAAAGAGCCAAGCGTCTGTGGTGCTTGTCTCCTGGGTGAGCGATGCATTGCTGTGAAGGCCAACATTTTGCTGATTGCATAAAGGGTAGTCTTGAGTTGGGGGGATGGGCTCGGGGAAGCAAACAGGGCAAAGCAGCTGTGCAGCCAAGGCTCAACTATCTCAGGAACTCTCATGGTATAGAACATGTCCTGTCGTGTACAGCTGGTTTTGCAAGTGGCCCCAATGCAGTTTGAGGCGTCAATCGGGTGCAAAGATACATGCAAAAGCTTAAAGCAACCTGCTCTTGATGTTGCTCCTCGCCTGGCTTGCAAACTAGCATTGGCAGGTGGTTCTGTGCCCCATGTGGGGCAGTTTCAAACCGTTACGCGGCTCGAGGCTCAAATGGTCTGGAATTTGTGCTCTCCAAGGCGCTTACAAGCGAGCAACACGTGAGTATGTTCTCACTGCAAAGTGCCTTGGACCACCCTGGTACACAATAACAAAATAAATCTAGACGAAGCAGGACCTCTCTGCAATCAGTCTGGCAATGTGGGACACTATGGGCTTCAGTCCGTGGTGATGGCCGGACAGGTGCACTTCCGCAGATAGCCTTAGGCAGTGGGTGCTCCACGATTATGATGGGCCGGTTACACGACGACGTGCCAATTGTTTGTCCAGCTACATGAACCGTAGCCTTCGAACGGGAACCAGAAGAACTCTCCTGGCAGGGCAGTCTCAAAGCCTTACCCACATTGAACAGGGTTTCGACAATCGGCGGCCTCTGCGTCGCCAGCTGCAAATCACTGGTCCCTCCACGTCGCTGCAGATATGGAAGAACACCTCCAGTCGAATCACACTGCTGGTGGGCCGGAAATGGTCATGTCCCGTGCGCAATATTCCTGAAGCTACGGCGAGTGTTAAGGGGGCTCCATTTTGATGTGCCCCACTTGCTCGCCTCCAGAAATTCAATTGCCTAGGCCACAAAATCCCAAGAGAAGACTGAAGGCTGCACCGCTCCGTTCATCTCCTGCATGCCCATCGTCTCGAAAGTCGTGGTAGTAGTTGTCGTGGTGCTGGTAGTGACTGTGGTCTCCTGAATCTAACGCATACATACTACCCGATGGCGCAAACCAGCTAAACCCTAAATAGTAGCTTCCATTTTCTTGTCCATTATCTCTATATTACCCCAATTATACTATAGTAGCTTCCATTTTCTTTTCCAGTAATGCCAAGACACTGTGGGACAATCCTTTGGCCTTGGCTGTTAGCGGCTAGAAAGTACCAAGCTGGGTCTCCACTTGCAGAAGTCTGCCCACATGGAAGATGTTTTGGTAGTCATACCAATCTGTCCCCCCTCTTTTTGTTTTGCCCAGGCCTTTCAACTGTGAGTGCTTTGGAAACGAAAGTGTTGCATGCCTCTGCCTCTCTTCTTATTCTTCTTCTTGGTCTTGCGCACGTTTCATTTAAACCTCCTGTTTTGTCTGTTCTGACGGCTGTCGCAGGCTGGTCGGGCAAATTCCTCAAGTCTACGCAGCTGGTCTGCAAAGACGCGGCCTGAAGAGATGAGAATGGCTGAAAGCACTCTAGCTCCCATGGCCTCTTCCAGTACCAGAAATTGCAAGGGTACCCGCGTGAGGATGAGCTGTAGTCTAAAATCCTAGTATCCCCTATACAACCAATTTGAGGAGTTTAGACTATAGCTCACATGGAACCACCGACTGTCGCCCGCCGGCCGGACATATGCTGTCGCTGCCTCTTCGTCTTTTCTGCTTGATTATTTCGATGGAGGCTCACATCATCATTAGGTAGTTACCAGAAATACGTGGATCCCATGTGACCCAAAATAATGTAATGGTTCGGGCCCCAAAAAGGTACCCCCAAACTTTGGCAAACCCCCATATCGGCTCTACCATGATGCCATGGAAAGGCTGATGCCCGGCCAAGGAGCCCAGAAGCTGTGGCCAGCTTCTCCGTAGTGTAATGTTCTTTGCCGCCCAAGCGCAGCAGTAGCTGATAGTCGTGATTCCCTGCTGCCCAGGCCTAGGTTTGCCATAGCAATATTCTGCCTAAGTCCAGCTGCTAGAAAACGGGTTGCAGTTCGACGTGCTGGGCCATTCATGCTCCAGCTGTTCAAAGACAGCAGCCCTTCATGCTCGAGCTCTGCGGCTAGGAGGCTGCACAGCGGCATGTTGCAGCTTCACCTTAGGGATATTTACGCATTGTATGGGTGACCTATGAATGTTGTCGAGATGTGCGAGGGGCACCGTGAATTGAGCTAGCGTGGCCCAGGTACAAGCGCCAAGACCTCCAAACCTTACCCATTCTGAACTGGCATCCTCTCGCCAGAAGCATTCGATAATGCTCGGTGGGTCCTGCAAGCTTCTCCACATAGCCATCAAAATTTTGAACAGGACTTGTCTGTAAACAAAAGGCTCTGGAAACAGAAGGCCCTGGGACCGGCAACACACTACTTCTGGCAGCGATCAAATCAGCCTGCTGGAAGATATCCCGACAGAGCTGGAAGACAACAGCGCCGCCGATCCTCAACGCTACAGTGCATCAATCAACCAAACTCCAACAACTACGCAGACTACACATGACAATCAACTACGGCAGTCTAAGCATGTCAAGCATCTCGGATGCTCCAACATACTGCCCGGTAGTTGTCATGGTTGTGGACGTCATGGTGCTGGTGTCTGGGAGGCAAAACCTCAAGGTCGTCTCACAACATCCCCAGTCTTCGGACCCCTTCAGCACAACATAGCAGGCTTGGTTTGCAGCAGAGGAACTTGGATCCCACGTTCATGGCGTCAATCGCCGTGCTGAGGTACTCCACGCCTTCCAGCATTATCCGCGTCTCAATGACCAGCGTTGTGGTGGTTGTTGTCATAGAGCTGGTGGAAATTGTCGTCGTTGAGGTGTGCGTCCTTGTGCTTGATGTTGATGTTGATGAGAGAGTAGTTGTAGATGACCGGGTGACTGTCGTTGAGGTGGGCGGGAGCTTGACCACCTGGCGCAAGCCACTTGAAAAAAGGCAGGCTTTTAGCATGCAAGGCCTGGCCTCGTTCTCAATCCCCACAGAGATGACAATGCCCAGGCGCTGTGACATATCACTGGAAAGGACACTGGCATCAGGTGCTGCTAAGGGAGGATCCATGGGATCGGCAGCCAACAGACGCGTGGACACCAGCACCTCTTGCTGCGCAGTAGCAGCCAGCTGCATGCGAGCCTCAGGAACAGAGAAGGTCAGAAAAAGTCGGAAGCTGAGATGTTGCAGCCTATGCGCTAAACAGTTGCCCATCCCACGGTCGGGACTAAGGCACTAAGTCACTAAGGAGTGGACTTGTATCTGCATGGAAGCCAAGCTCGATTGCAGAGTGGCTGTGTTCGCAAGTTTGGACTGCATGCTAGTCAGGTCAGCAGCGTTGTCGGTGAAAGCAGAGATCTGAAACAGGTTCTGAAGCCTTCGTTCGCTTGCCTCCTCTGAAGAATCAAAGTCTGACAGACGCCTGCTCGAGCTTACCTTGATCTTGGAGGGATCAAGGTTGCCAGCAGAGGCTACCGCAGCTGCCATCTGTTCATCATCAATTTGCACTGAGGCCCAAAGCAAGGCGTAGGGAACTGAGATCCGGAATTGAATAGAGTCCACCAAAACCTGCTGGCTGCTGAGCCCAGTGCTACTCTGCACACTTTCCCTGTACGCAGCTTCCTTGAAACTCCATACATCATCAATCATGAGAGCTGCATCGAATGATGTGATTGGGACACCCGGCGTGTCAGTCCAGCCCAGAGGGCAGTCCGCTGCTGTGGAGAATGACAAGTCCTGCTTGTCAAACGGGCAGCGAGGGTCATAAGGAAAGCTAAGACAATCTGGCATTGACATGCAGGTATCGTAGCTGTAGAACCCTGCTGTGGAACCATGGAAGACGGTGCTTGGGAGTGCTGTC